TTGTACCATCAAAGCGGTAATGGCAGTGGGACCTACAAATTTTATATTTTATATAAGCGCAATTTTCGTTGTCGTGAGAATACAAGGCAAGGCAAGGAAAGACAAGGCAAAACGTACCGACCGTTATATCTTTACAAGTTCCAAAGATTATATATACAAAGCAGCCCATAAATGCCGAATATAATCCATATTGTGGTAACAGTCCAGCTACCGTAGCATAAGCAATAGCTTGCGGTATAGCAGTTAAACCTACTGTCAAGCCCGCTACAAAATCTGACATCAGGAACTTTGAATTATATTTGGGTAACCACACGAGTACAGGGAATACATTTTTCATAGTATTGACCGTGCAACGCTTTTGCGAATAATTTTTGATTTTCTCACAAATATTGATTTCATTTTCATTGTAGATTTTCTCTGCAACTAAGTATTGAAATACCTACCTCTGAACATTACGTTTTCCCTTCCATTTGTTATAAAATAGCAAATGATTAGTGATGGGATAAAACTTCTTACAACGTTTATTGGTAAAGCAAAATAATTATTATTTATGTTAATTTTTAAGAGTCGAATATGATTTTAGGAATATTATATATAATTTCCAAGACTTCTGATCTGATCTAACTGAGAGAATAATTCGGAAGATCTTCTTTTATGAGTTCAATAAGGGCGACAAAGTAAATTGCTAGGGGAACGCGTAGGTGGAGAGGAAGTCAATATTGACGATCGCCTCAGAATTTTTGAGTTCGAAAAATTACAAAGTCAATTAAAAAGAATCCGATTGAGATACGTTACGATTTAACTACGCATTTGTTTGCCTTTAAATGATAACGAGCCACTCAACGACAATCCGCCTGTTTTTCCGCCTTGGTTTCGGGAACAAAAGTTTAATGATGAAAAGTAAATGACTTTCTAGTAGAACCGTGAGGTAGGCGGCAAATAAGGAAGAAGGCGACACAGTTCTTCTCTCTTCTCCTTTAGTCGAGATACAAATAAGAATAAGCTAGAGTTACTATGAGATCAAAGTCAACGCTTGGAAAGGAACGTTCTCCCTTC